ATTTTACTTTTTTTAAGTGAATTAACTGAACCCCTATGCTTAAAATATATAATGGTAGATTTTTAGCGACTAGTAAATAAAAATTAATATTACGATTAATTATGAGCTTTGTTTTAAAGTTTAACAAGCAAAGCAACAATCAAAAGCAAGCTTAACCAACATAAGGACGCTAGAATTCGCAGGATAAGTGACGAAGCTCAAAGTTTATTACAGCTTTTGGCTAAAATAACTTTCGCTTGAGTGGGAGAGCGAAATTCTTAAACAATCAAGACTAAATTTAGAAATCTAGTGAGCAAATCTTACAAAACAGTAATAATACAAACTAGTATCAGGAGAATAAAATAGAAATTTGCTAGGAGTAATCTCTAAAGAGATAGTGCAATTCATCTGTCTAGTTAAGATGCCTGCAAGAAGAAAGGAATGAGAGGAAACTTAGAAATTAATCTTCAAACCATAATGGCAGTCAAAACCCAATAAACATCGGGAACAGTAGTTTTATTGATGATAGCACTGCCTCAACCACTAAATTCTAGCATTTTTTCTCAAAGTCTCCTACTGTAATGATGAGTTCCCAGTCCTTCACATTAAAAAACAACTACATGTTTGGCCCTCTGAATAGCTCAACCACTCACTTAAAATCTCCGAATGCACATTAAGGCAAGTAGAGATCGCTTTTTAATGTTAGAAATTTAAATGCTAACAATGAAGAAAATCAAACTTCTCATATTAGTTCTGGATGTGAGATACCCAGAAGAAATATTAATTTAGACAAGTACTTATCTCAGTCTATCTAAAAGGATACAAGAGCTGAAATAGATTAGAAATTAAAGGATTAAAGTCTATACTTTAGTAAGGATCTTCAAGAAAGACTAAAGATTATTAATAACATTGAAAAGGATATGAAGGACAGCAAGTAAAGATCTAATTCAAGATTAAGTTCGTAAAATAGGAGTCTTTCTGCTCAGAAAATTCTGAATAATTCCTCTTTGATGTTCTACCAAGGGATTCCTAAATTATTTAGACAGAGTCCATAGGCTTCACCCAGACCTCTAACAACCATTAATATTTAAGATTAGGCTGTAAATATAGTAAAGAGTCCTACTAATCATTTAGAGGCTATTAACAGATCTTTATATCTAACAAAAAACCTTCCAGAGTCAAATATTAATTAATGCAGAACTTCTAAACAATCAGACTCTCATCCTATAGTATTTCAGAGTAAATCGCCTTAGCCAATGACTGTCAAATATGAATAAAAAGTGAACATGATAAAAAGGTGTTCACCCAGTTTGCTGAAAAAATCATTTTTCACTCAGAAGTCAATTTAATAAATAAGCTTAGAAAAACTAAGACAAGAACATCCTAATCTAAGTCAGAACGAAATAAATTAAGGAATATTAAATCGGTCTGTTGAATCTCTTAATGATTCTAAGCAGGCTATTCATTAAGATCTTCTAACACTTAAACTAATCGCCATAAAAGAGATGATATTGCAAAATAAGTAATAGAGTAAAGACAAAAACTAGCTAAAATCACAAGAAAGAAATCATCAGAACTAAAGTCATAGTCTCAGAAATTCTTTTAATCATACAAGTGTTTCAAATAATACAAAAGTTAAACAGATTTAATAAGTCGTCCTGCCACAAACTTCTAATGTCTAGCAATAGCAAACTAGGAATGCTAAAGATAGCCCTAAGAGATAAAAGAAAACTAATTAATCTTACCTTAATTTCACTCAATCTTACAGAATAGATAAAAGTACTAGAAACTTCAATAAGATCAAACTGGACTCTAATAAAACACCTTTATCTCCATCAAGAAGAGGTTCTAAACTTAAGATGACTTCCAAAGCAAGTAATCAAAACAAAACCTTATGGCTTGGAAATCAATCTCCAATTAATCAGCTACCTCAAAATCCGCAAAGCACCACATCTCTATCTATAAATACTGAAAAGCTTAAGTAGTTCTGCTAGGTAAATCAATCAAGCAGTTAATTACACATTTCTCACTAGCACTCCTCTTAGTAAAATCAGAATAAAGTTAGTTCTCAAAATATTAGCTAAAATATTTAGAGTATCTCGAGTCAAAAGCAATCACCTCGATACTAGCCAGCTAAGAGCAACTTCGTTAAATTCTGTAAGCCTGAAGCGATTATTGAAACACCTATTCCCTAATCAATCTCAACAATAAACTCTTAAGCTGAAACTCAAAGATTGACATTAGATTAATCATCAAAGCGACTTAATTTTCAAAAGAACCCATCGCAGCAAGCTCTCTTAAGGCTTAACACTTTCATTAAATTGACTAGGTAGCAAATGTTCAATAACTAAACTAACTAGCACCACTGATGAATTAAATCGATCAAGTCATCCTAGATTCAATAGAATATAAATGGAAAACTTAATGTCGTTAATCTTATTTGAATAAATATTATGAGCTAGCACCTCATGTGAATAAGTATATAATCAAAGCTTTATCTTTAAATACATTATTAAAATTATAATTATTGCTAAATTATAATATTTTGTAATTAATTTTTAAGGTTTTAAATATGCAAGGTTATCAGCCATACGGTCCTACAAACCCTCTTTTAGTTGCTGGGGGGAATTAAAGAGCTTATCATGCAATGGAAGGATCTAAGAAGAAAAAAGCTATAGATCAATCATTGATGGAGCTTCGAAAGAAATTTAAAGTAAATACAGGTAAAGATGAAGAAGCAGATTAGTTTGATGAAGATTAAAGATTAGATGTTCATAAGAGATTTGGTTCATAAAATTTGAAGAGAGATCGATCTCAGAGTGAGCAAATATCAGCGAACCCTATTTTAATAAGTCACATAATTCAAGACAATGCAGATTTCTTAATGCAGCAAGTGACTAATCTTTATGTTGGAAATTTGTCTACAGAAGTGACTGAGGAAATCCTCACAAAGGTTTTTTGCAAATTCGGAGAAATTGAGTCTGTAAAAGTAATGTGGCCCAGGACTGAAGAAGAGCGAAAACGCAAAAGAAATTGTGGATTTGTGAAATTTTACAAGTATGAATCAGCATTCCTAGCAAAAGAAACTTTAAATGAATCCCTTTTGATTGGCATGTCGATGAGAATCAATTGGGGTAAAGGTATATCACAGTAGATTAGAAATGCTGGACTCATGGTAGATTACAAAGGTGTGGTTGGAGATTAGGATCTTGAAATGCAGTACATTGAGAACTAACTCAACCTTATCATTATGGGGCACAGTCTACTTGGAGATGATGAAATACTAGAATCAGAATATAATTACTTTCCTTAGAGTTTGCCAAGAGTTAGAGTTAAAATCCCGGAGGATCCATTAACAAGGTATTAAATTGACAAATTTGCTAAGTTTATTGCAAAAGAAGGGTATCAAATAGAAAATGAGATGAAGCATATTATTCAGAAAGGAAGGGAAATAAATAATTAAATACTGAAGAAAGTCATTCTAAAAGAAGATAATGAACTATCTAATTATTATCAATGGAGATCATATGCCTATTTCAATGGAGACTCGACACACTCTTGGAGTTAACATCCGTATCAGCTTTATCAAGATGGACCGATATGGATACCCCCAAGGAATAGAGGAGATAATCTGAGATTAAATCCTGCCTAAGAGATTAAAGAGCGCATGCTAAAGTAGACAAATTTGGTTCGTAGTGCTTTATCCAGAGTTGCTGATCTTAATTAGAATGACGAGATTGATACTTAAATGGAAGATGAGTAGGATCTAGCTCAAAGAAGAGAAAAAGAGCAATAAATGCAAGGATTTATACCGTTGAGTTAATAAGATAGAATTGTTGTGGAAGGCATTATCGATAATATTTAATCTACTAAAAGAAGTATTTGCTAAGGAATGATACTTGCAATGGAATATGCGTCAAATGCAAGAGATATTGTGGATATTATCACAGACTCAATTATATCTTACATTGCAACTCAGAAGGAATATGATCTTAAGAAGCTATTCGCAAAGCTATTTCTCATCTCAGATATTTTATTCAACAGTTCAAATCCTTAAATTTAAACAGCATGGACTTACAGAAGAGAGTTTGAGACTAGATTAAGCTTGATATTCGAACATCTAAATATCTTATGGAGAACAAAGGTTGAAGGAAAATTAAGTTAAAAGTAAATTAAAAAATCTTCATTAAGACTCTTGAAGATTTGGAGAGAAAGGTAAATTTATGAGTCTAGGATTATAGAGGGTTGGGAGGCGACATTAAAGATAGACAAAAAGTTATACTATTCCTTTCATTTGACAGATCCAAGTTTCTAACCAACTAATATAAAAGACTAAAAGGTCCTTGATAAGATGAAACTAATAATGGTTCCAGAACTTAAGAATTATTTTAAAAGAATAAAAGAAAATAATTTGAATCATAATGGGCTAATAGAAAGAGAATGTAAACTGAGTGGCGTTCCTCTTACAGCAGATGACTTGGTTGAAAGACTAGTATCACTATAAGAATACAAAATCAGGAAAGTCTTAAAATCTAAGATTCACTCAGAGGCAAGTACATTGGAGCAATCACAAAACAAGGATATTATGATGACTCAATACCTAAGAAGCAATTTGAGGAAATCTATAATAGAGCTTGAGCCTAATCTTGATTAGGTATAGGTGTTTAACTTAGATTAGAGAAAGCAATTGATAGAGAAAGCTATCTAGGACTTAATATAGGAAATAGTTAAAATTAGAAATTAGTATCTAAAAGTGTAGTAGTCTATGCTTTAACTTGATGAGAAGTAAATTGACGGCAGTGCAATTTAAGAGAATGATCTTTAAATGTTTGATTTCAACTACAAGAATATCGAAAGAAATGAAAGATTAATTGCGATAGCTTAAAGAGCCCTTGAAAAAGGAAAGGGCAACATAGACTTGGACAATCTTAGCTTAGATTCAGATGAGTTGATTACTACACAAGAAGATATTCAAGATAATGAAGACATCGATGGAGTTGAGTTGTCAGAGAGTGATGAAATATTTCTTAAGAATACATAAAATGAGGAATGCTTTAGTGCAATAATTCCAAGTGATCACTTGAAAAAGATATTGAAATATGCTCGTTAGAAAAGACTCTTGCTAAACAAAAGGCAATAGCTTAAATAAATGAGTAGTGGAAATAAATAACTTGATCAGGAGCTCATCTAGACTACAGAGTAATTGGATAACTTGACTCTGCACTTCAATCGTGACTTTGAGAAGCTTGACGAAAAAGAAGTGGCTTTTCACAGAGTCTCAAGATGGAAAAAGAGATTTGAAAAGGATCTAGAGTAGTTTGAAGCAGATTTATACAAGAATAATAAACTGACTAACTTTGAAAGACTTCTTAAATTGACTAAAGAGAAGTTGTCAATGTACAAGAAGCTGCATGAAAAACTGAAATAAGAAGCTATTGAATCTCAAACCAAGAATATATATTAGCAGCAATCTAAGTAGGTGAAAGAGCAATTGAGATCTAACAATAATTAGAGGAAAGATAAGAGCTTGGAGAAGGATAGAAGAACTGCACCCAAAAAAAGTAAAAGTAGGAGTTCAAGTAGTAATTCAGATAGTAGTTCTTCTTTGGAAAATAGTTCAAGCAGTAGTAGCCAAAGTAAGAGTAAGAGCAGAGAAAGGGATAGATACATGAAGGACAAAAACTCAAGATAAGATGAAAGATAATAAATCAGGAAAAGATCAAGATCAAGAGATTCCAGAAATAGATACAGAGATCAGAGATATGATAGAAAAGAAAGATCAAATCATGGCAGTGATAGAGGGGATAGAAAATAAAGCTATCATTAAGAAGAGACATAGAAAAGATATTAGGGGATTCAAGATAAAATAAATGATAAGCATCATTAAGAGGAGAATTAGAATCATAGAAGAAGCGAACGAGCTTAAAGTGATTATTCAAGACATCATACAGAGAGATCATCCTATGTAGATCAGAGCAGAAGTGGAGATAAGGATAATGGAAAAAGATCAAGATCAAGAGACAAAGAATATGGAAGAGATAGAAGAAGAGATATAGTAACCAAGGAGAGAGATTCGCATCATCATAGCACTTCTAGAGAAGATGACTCTAGAAGATTCAATAAAAACTAGCATTCATTCACCAATTAAAATTAGAATTATCATGGATAAGATTCAAATGAATAGTTATCAAGGAGAGAATCGTCCAAGACTGTTGAGAGGCAAATTGTTCTAGAAAGAAATCTCTCAAACTAAAGCGATTTAAAATTATAGGATTAGACACAAAATAGAAGCATATTTGATAGATTAACTCTGAGACCTTAACAGCAAGATTAAAATTCACCAGACAAGCCAAGAGACTTGGCGAAGTCTGAAAATCAAGATGTAAATGAAGTGCTTTGGATAAATAACAGAGGAAACTCTAGATTTTCAAGAGGATTTGGTGGAAGAGGCAGAGGATTCGACAATAATTACTAAAACACAGGCCATCAGCCAACAAGAGGTGGAGCAGGTTCCAGATTTAATTGATAAACTTAATTTCATAATTACTCGCAATTCTTACAATTCACAATCGACGGGGTTTTGGGGTTTTGGGGTTTTGGGG